AATGTATCTTCGAATTAAGCACACGTTCTTTTAGATAAAAACAATATTAATGTAAGCAACGAGGCTTGGAATAAACGATTTTTACTTGGAATTTCAGCTTATTTTGCTTTATTTGATGTGATGAAACACAAGAATGAAGATTTGGAGTGAAAATTTAGATTGAGAATTGATGAGTTTTTGGTAAGGGTTTGGAGTAGAAAACAAGTATGGTTGTGTGGTCATACAGGTGAGTGTTTTATCAACTTATTCTGGAGATGCATCTCTAAAAATATCTGACATACAAACGTGATTCAAATTTCAAAATCTTACCCCAAACCTCCATAGATGCATCTTCGGAAAATCCATTGGGCTGCTCAAATATTAATATATTTGATGAAAAATACCCAGAGATGCATATCCGGAATAATTTTTTATGTTAATCTGGGGTGGACCTTGTTTGGTGCATCGTAAAAGTGGTGCAGGGCAGGTCTAAAGACGTATCTCCAAAATCTAAGGGGCATTTTTTCGGTTTTCCATAGGGTGTTTTTCCACCCCATAGGATGGAATAAGAAATTCTCAAAATTAATTACACTTTAACACCCCTCAAAATGTAGTGGGTGGAATACCGTCTAAGTTTGGATAGAAGAACAGAAAAGGGTCCAAATATAGTGTTTTGGTGAACACGTCAGCGACTTGGTTTAGTTAAATAAATAAGATGAATGTGAACAATTTTATGTAGAACCTTATCACGAATCAGATGACAATCTATTTCTATGTGTTTTTTTTGTTCATGGAAGGTGGCAAGGAAAACAAAAATCTATTGTTGATTGCTGAGTGAGAAGGAAAGATCCTCAATCAAAATCTGTAAAGTCTGTTACGGTTAGGTTGGATTTTGCATTGAATAAGAGACCTATTGATGCAAAATTATTGAGATATATCATGATCTGAAAATCAACTTGAAAGTGTGTTGTTACTGGCTTAGACAAGAATTGACTCAATATGCAAAATAGAGTGATTGATGTAATTGATGTCAGATTTATAATGGGTGAGATAAATCAACTTACCAAATAATCGTTTGAATTAAGTTGGGACAGGAAAAAAGTTTTCAGGATCAAAATACAAATCCTGGGATGGATTCATTAGTGTTGAGTCTATTTTAGCACCCAATAAATTGAGTTCCTGTAAAAGGTCTAAACAATATTTTCTTTTGCACAAGAATAAGCCTTTGGATAACATTGTTATGTTTATTTTTCTAAAATAATAAAGTCCCTAGAAATGGTAGTCTATTTAACGAAACATTAAGTGTGACTTAAGCATGAGATCCCATTAACATAAAGATATTATTTAAAAGTATTTGTCAATCTTTATTTTGAGGTGAGATAACATTACAAAATTGAGACTATTATGTACATATACTAATAATCACATCTCACAAATCATGCATAAAAAGTTATCAAGTCTTCACATATCTATAAATATTACTTATACTAGATTGACTCACAATGAGAATACTAAATAGAATGTTATGCAAGTATCATAAGTTATTCTCAAGGTGATATTCATGTATACCATCCTCCGACCCAAAACTACTACAAATCCTAGATGTAGAGTCGAGTACTTTATTGCCGATCGGACATTGTCAGTAACATGATAACTATAAATATGGTTGATGGTTACTCCACAAATAATGTTGAGGGACATGAGTGACCTAAGTGTAATTCGCTCATTATGCATAACAGAATAAATGTCTTAGGACCCAATATTGAACTGAACGAGTCTGACATAGTCTATGTCTTGTGTCAATATAGACGTGAGGGGAAAAGAGTAATTATACATATAGTATTATCACAAATTTTTTGTTAGATCACATGACATTTTCATAACTTTAGTAATAGTGATTGTTCTGGCTTGGGCCCCGGCTTGGCCAGGCAGACCCAACCCAATAATATTCCACCAAGCCCAGTCCAGCTTGGGCCGCAGCGTCGGGCACAGGGTCCCCGACGAGCAGGTAATGTCCCTCCGCGGGCAGAACCTACCTCAGTTGCGTCGGGCACAAGACTTCCCCATCGACCAAACACTGCCCTCTCCGCGGGCAGAACCTGCCCTCCACGGGCAGAACCTGCTCCTCTGTCGGGCAGGAGAACGTGTCATTCACACGTTCTCCACGTGCTCCCCTCCGCGGGGACACGTCACAGACCAACTGCCCACCTCTGACAGAGCTGGTCAAACTCACTTTCCGGAGATCACGGGACAGTTGGACTAGGGCGAAGACCATGTCCTGGTCTTCACTACGCCACGTAAGCCCTAACAGTCACCTGGGTTGGGCCTGGCAATCCAACTCAACAAAAGTGACCGTTGGCCCAGGGTTGGGGTCTCTCTATAAATACCCTCTTGCACAAGAGGGTCAGGTAATTCACTTCTTACCCCTTTTCTGTATTTGCTTTCACTCTGCTCAATTCCTTACTTTGGCATCGGAGTGTCTTGCAGGTACACCCCCTCCTCATCTTCACCACCGTTGAACAGGCAGCAGTCCAACAGAGTGTGGCCAGCTATTGATCCCCTTCTGATCAGGTCAGATCAGTGATGTATTGTTATATATCGCTCCCTGTTTATTATATTAAATGTGTAATTTGATATAATTGTTAACATGACGAGAGCATGCAGGGTCACACACTTAAGGACAAATTGGGGGGGGGGGGGGGGGGGGGGGGGAATAAATAAGTAAATCTTATTCGATTGTGCAGTATTGCAATGAACTAGCGTTAATTAGAGAAATATGGTACACCGTAAGGTACAACATACCTAAGTGCAATATAGAGCACCATAAGGTAGAGTGTACTCAAGTGAAATAAGGAACACGATATGGTACAATGTATTTAAGTAAAATACGAAACATCGTAAGATACAATGCACTTAAGTGAAATATAATACATTGTAAGGTACAATGTGCTTAGTGGACTTATTTAGCTTGCAGCCCACACAAGCAGTTCTGTAAATAAAATCTTTTTGCTGAAGTATTTGAAGCTTGACCAAATTCGATTTGTGAAACCATAACCCCTCTCTCTCTCTCTCTCTCACACACACACACACACACGCACATACAATTTTCATTTGTAACAATTAACACTAAGATTGAAGTCACTTTGTTCGTGTGAGCTGAATAGAGGTGTTGTTCTTTGTTCAATGCTCGTGATCATTCTTTGGATTATGCATCAACAGTTAATCACCACAATGGATAAACATTCTATGAATGCTCATATTCATTTGTAAGGATCAACTTAAAAGAAATTTTTATTTTCCATTGTGTTTTATATTTTGATTTACATCCATTAACGTCATAAGTTTAAGGGGTTCTAGGAGAAGTAAGTATGTAAAAGCCATTATGTTGTTTAGTTATACTAATGGTCTTTAAGGTTTGGTTTCCCTATATAAGACAATTAGAAGAGTTAAAGTAAACATGACAATTTGGGAAATCTGTTATTTTAGGGATGAACTATGGTGGTGTTCATTCGGTAAAGAGACGGATGTTGTTGAGTTTGACCTTATTGAATAAGGGAAAGTAGGGCCTTATGTTTATTAGTAGGGGGATTGATTGTTGGAACAATAACAGGCGAGTGATCATTAACATGTTCTTGACCAACGCTTTTAAGAACATCCTCAGTGGTGTATGTTTGTTACAGATACATTTTTTTTGAGGTAGGGAGGGAGGTCATGCCTTTTTAAGCAAACGCCGATGGTATGGCTTGGCTTGCGACAATAAGAGCATATATGGATTCCACTGCCTCAATCTGTTTGGAAGGATTTTGGATTAGAATCTCAGGAGCAAACTTTGTAATAGGGTGTAAAGATGTGAGCAAGAAGTTTATCTTCATCAAAGGTTATTGTATAAACATTGATAAAACTTTATTGATGTGCGAAACCGACTACATGAGCGTTATTTGGGATCTAATGGGAGTGTATTGCTCGTTTATTCCTTTTAGGAAGCAGGTGATGTGATCATTGTCACGATAGACCTTGATTTCAGGTAGAAGAAGGCAAGAACCTTGAACAATGCAATTACATGTTGGAAGAGGACGAAAATTCTCTACTTCTTGCCATATTTTCTTGATGATGTGAAGAAATGCATGATATATTGACCCCTTGGTGCAATACGCAAATTTCTTCTTGCAAATTGGATTAGAGTTTTGTTTACCAAAGAATGAAAAGATATGGTTGTAATATGGATAGCCAATCACGATTTGACGTGTGTCAACAAGAAAATATAATTATTAGATATATCACATTTTTCTAATATTCTCTCTGGTTTTATTTATAAGAAAAAGATTGTTTTTTTAGATTCATTGAGTATACAATATATCTGAACAAAATATAGACTAAATACAATAACTATTGAATGAATCTAAAACGTAAATATTTTCTTATAAATAGGACTAAAGATAATACCACATTAAGTTGTGTAGTTTTCTTACATGAGCTTCATGATTCACCGATGAAGAAATAAAAAGAAAATACCTTTATTATTGAAAAATCGGTTTGCTTTTAGAGTCCTTAGTGAACTTATATACAACTAAATGTAACAAACTTAAAGCAAAATCCTCTAACTTTTTCATCAATTTGGATGATTCCAACTGAATAGTTGTAAGCTTCAATGACAGAAGTTAGAGTAATAGTTTTAAGCTTTATAGTTTCAAGCTTTTCATTGTTTAAGAGACATATTTACACTTAATTTTACATGAAAGAGCAAGTTTTACTTTGTAGCAGAGACACTTCATATTGAAAAACATGTCTAGTGTCTGACACATGCTACACACTTAATAACGAAATTCGAATCCAAGATCTTATAAGATTTACATTAAATCTTTATCAACCGGGCCTTCCATTAAGGAATCAACACTCAACAACAATGTTACATTTCATATCATATCATACATTCTGCACTATGCATAAGTATCACACAATATTTTCCAATGAACAACATCTAGAGTTTGTTATTCCATTTAGTCTTGCTATCAAAAACGACACTACATATAATTGAGAACATCTTTGAGAACATAAACCAAAAGCAAAGATATTAGGTACAAGAGGTATGCAGGAAAGGATGTCCAAAGAGGAAAAGTGGTACGAAAAGCCGACGCAAGACCCATCACAGCACAAACAATGGCCACCACCAATACATCAGCTGAAAATTCCCAAGTAATATCTCTCATATATATAAGAATAGATATCACCACAAAACCAAGAATGTTGTTCATGAACACTGCTCCATAAATCTGCATTCACCGAATCGAAAAGTTACAAATTATCGACAAGTTTAAGAGCTTATAGTGAAGTGAGAGTGACAGACACTAGATGATGACTAACCTCATACATGGTGTGAGAAGTATTACTACTTTTTTTGTGACTAGCTTCTTTGATTGCTGATGTTGCTTCTCTGAAATTTGTAGCCAAAGGGACTAAAATAAACGAGATGAAAAACGATGAAATTCCCGCGGCTTCGGAGAATTTTTGAACACTTGCTATTAGAGGCTCTGCAAGAAGTGACAGCATAGTAATTCCCAACACCAAGTATGCTATAGCTTCAAACCATGCAGACACTCCTTTGGATTGAGTCTCTTCCATTACCTTCTCAACCTCTTCCCATGTCTATAATCCACAATCATTTCATTGATCAAGAGTTTTATAGAGACTAAATTTTAGTATGACAAGTTATTATTTGAGTAAAGGAAAATAAGGACATACTTGATGAGTTTCATGATGATGATGAGAAGATTTTGAGGTTGAAGTTTTGTTGGAATTTGAGCTAATCCATTTGGTGAAACCATCAACAAATTCATTCTCACTGATTTCATTGTCTTTGTTGGCATCAAGATCTTGAAGTAGTTTTGTGACTGCTTCTTCTGAATCTACACCCTTGCCAAAATGAATGTCCTTCACTATTTTTTCTAACTCGGTTCTCGAAACATGGTCATCGCCATCGATGTTAACTTCCTCAAACAACCTATTACATCATCAACTTTAGATTATCAAATATTTGAGTTAATTCATGTATACTTTTTCAGTACAAAGATATAAATATGCAGACCTTTTAATAGCTTCTTTATCGGGTGTACCGTCTTCATTGTGCAGCTTACCAACCGTATCACTCTGAGCATGACTTAAAACTTCAGAAATAAGACGTCCCTTCAATTCGCGTTCTTTTCTCACATTTTCAATCCACGGCTTAATAAACGCCTGTTCACAATACATAAGCACTTGTATAATAAGCACTTACACTATCAACGCTCAATTAAGTTGTTTTTCCAAACATGGCCTAAGTACATGCTTGAAAAATATCACAAATATAATGTATAGTAATCATACCTGATACATTTTGTTCATAGACTCTTTGGGAAGATACTTTCTATCCAAAGCATGCTTAGTTTGGTTAATGTATTCTTTTAAGCCATCAACAAATTCTTCCCTTGATATGACTTGGTCACCATTTTTGTCAAAAGCTTTTACCATGTCTTCTATCTGTTCATCTCTGATGTTCGTGTTCGTTAAATTGCTCCCGAGCAGAAGCTCTTTTACTTCCGAAGCTAATAAGTGCTTCCTCCCGTGTTGACTGAATTCATTATATAACCTGCATGATGAAGTACACCACTATGATAATGTCTTACAAGTGCTTATGACAATAGATATGTTCAAATATATCAATCCAATCCAAACAAGCCTTCCTGAATTCTTACGCACCCGCTTATGGCAGTTACATTGGGAGTTCCATCCTCAGCTAGAATCTTTTGCAGAGTTTGCTTTTCAACGCGTTGGAAAATTCTCAATATTAAATCATCATGTTTTATGTATTCTAGCCTTGTTTTCTCAATCTGCGGTTTAAAGATCTGCGCATTTCGTAGAAAAAATGCTAAAGCGATTTTGCACTGAAAAAAATCAATAAGAGAATCAAACTAGTCTATTACAAGTTGCAGGAGAAACCTGGTAAATGAAGTATGAGATGAGAAAAGAGACAGCAATGATGAGAGAACTCATCAACGTGACATTGCGCGAAGATGTAGAGAAATGAAATAATGTGGGAATCTGCATTATGAGGAGTGGTATAACAGAAAAAACCATATTTCTTGCCATCTTTCTAGTGTCTACATCCATAGTAATGCCATAACCTATATGAAACAATGACACACAAACAAGCATTATATAAGACGCTGACACGTCGATACTGATAATAGTTTGAAAAAAAATAAGTTGATCGAATGTAATAACATGCGTATGTGTCAGACATCGAAAGTGTCGCTGTTAATATACTCTGAGAGAATCAAGAGCATACCAATCAAAGATTGTTTTATTCTTCCTGTTGATGAATTTGAGCAATGAGAATTAGATTCACTTTTCAAGTCTTGTTTGCCAACAATAACACAAGTTCCCCATAGTACTGTGAGAAGCAAGATGGATGATCCTGCTAACAAACCAACACCAGTGGAAGCAGACTCTTGTGCCCTCTCCTTATCACTTGAAAGTCCAGTCACTAACAAACAAACAAGTATTAATTAAGATAAGGTATACATAATTTTCTGTGTTATGTGTAAGATATAGTATACCTAATTACATCCAAGAAAATAATATTTCTCATGAAATTTCTTTCACTTGAATTCTTTCTCCTATTTCTTTGTTGGATGAGTTTTGCACTGAAATTATGAAAAATAACATTGACTTTTATAGGTAATAAAAATAAATAAATGAATTCATTGTTACAACTAAATTTCTCTATAAGAAAGAGTTGTAAAGATTAAATTGATATTGTTAGATTGAACGTCAGTCACTCGTACTTATACTTATAATTATGTGTAAATTTTTAGATATTATTACCGATTCGTCTGCGGACCAAAAATATAATAGCAAGGTGCAACTAAAGAGATTTATATTGTGATAGTGAAAAACATTACCAAGAAGAATCAAAGACTCTGGAAGAGCACCAAGAATATCAAAAGCACTAGCACCAAAAACACCAGGACCAAGAATCTTGAAAACCTGTTCACCTCCCGCAGCCAAATATGATTCTCCATGGAACAACAAGTACTCATAAACCAAAATCAGAAACAAGTGACCAAATATGTTACTAGAACATGGCAAAAAACCATACATTTGCTTACAATACTCCCCTTCATTACTAAGAACCAGCAAAGAATCTTCTTCTGAGGATTCAACATTATCAACTCCATTGGAGACCAATTTAAGAGAACGGCATTGAACATGAAGTGATAGTATAGAAAGAGAGAGAAAAATAATGAATGCTGATATTTTAATGTTTCTCATTTTGTTTTATCTAATGTGTGATGAAATGAAAATGAGACAATGGTTTTATAAACACCACAAGCAAAAATGAAGAGATTGAATGTTATTCATGATGGGTAGATATGAAATAAATATGATATAGTACATCAAAACCACGTGACCTATTAATTTATTTCATTTGACCCTAATATTTAGGACCATACAAATTCATCTGACAATTAGAGATGTGTTGTGAGTATCGACTAAACTAATAATTAATCATTCTCTTAGTTGTACAATGTAATGTGTTATCTCAAATTTGTAAAAATTGTTTTAAAATGAGGATTTGAAGCATGGAAACCTTTAATATTGGAGTATCTCTTCTACATGTGTCATAACATTATGAAAATTCAGATGTGTGTTTCCAATTTTTTTTACATGTGTTATATATTTATTAGATATGTCTAAGACACGTCTATGAATTAAAATATAAACATTAAATTTACTATTAAAAGTTGACTCAATTAATAAGAAAGAGTTGTATTATTGATATAAATATTAGCACAGTTGAATTTAAGACTAAGATGGATTTTAAAAGTGAGAAAAACACAAGAAAGAGAATTGAATTGGGTTGGTTTTTTTTTCTCTAAATTTTTTCATCTTCTGTATTTGATGGATCTCAATCAAATTCTGAACACTTGATTCAGAGTTTGACTTAGAGATACTAAGTTAGCTTCTGAAAGTCTTTATCAAATTCTAAAGTAGAATCTAATTCAATGTTGCAAAGTTGATACTAGTGAAATAATAGGCACATAAACAAGGAAAGTAAAAGTAAAGACACACATCAATTATTCTAGTTCCTCTCACAATTAGAGAGTAGTCCATTCTCATTGCACTTTTAAGAAATTTTCACTATAACCAAACTGGTTACAAATGCTCAAAAACCAAACAAGAGACTTCTACTGCTCAAACCCACAAGTAAGAGACTTATATGTTCAAACACACAAGCAAGAAACTTTCGATGCTCAAACCCCTAAGTAAGAGACTTATATGCTCAAGCGCACATGCAAGAGACTTCAAATGCTCAAGCACTAAAGTAAGAGACTTCTAACTATATAACAAACAATTAAGAGATTTGTGTAACAACTAAATTTGATATACAATCAGAGGTGTAGACAAAATATAACTTAGAAAGACTCTAAGACTTAAGAACTTATAAAATATACAAAGTGTTAAGATGTTCTAAGCTTAGTTTGTTTTTGACAAATTAACTTCTCTTTAAAATGTCAAAGTTCAGAGTCTTGTATTATAGTGTATTAGTCTTCTTCTTCAGGTCTTCTGCTTCTTAAATAGAAAGGAAGAAAAGAGATGTTGAATACTTTCACCAAAAAGATGGTTAGTCTTAGTACTTGATTGGACACATCAAAAAAACACCTTTCTATAAGGGGAATTATCCGTTGAAACTTAGAAAACAAAGAAGACATTTTCCTTAAGTTTTCACGTGATCAAAAGGTCTCTGAGTCTGTTAGAGTTGCATCGATTGAAAATAATATGCTTCAGAGGTTGAATTTCTTCAGACTTCACTTTTTAGAGGAAGATCTCTTTAGAGTCTAGTTCTTGATTTCTGAAGCTTCAGAGTCTGAATCACCAGAGACTGACTTTTATCAGAGTCTAAATCTTCCATCAGGGCCAGAGTCTTCATAAGTGATCTTTAGAGTCAGAGTCTGAACATCATATTCAGAATCCTCAAGCTTCTTTTAATTTGTTCTCAGTCTTATAATCCAACATACTTGAACATATGTTAGATTACCCAATTATTCTTTAAACATTTGTTTATCATCAAAATCCAAGGGATATGGTATCAACCATTTTTGTTCCCACAACCTACCCATTTTTTATGATGACAATCATAAGTATTTAAGAACAATGGTTGTTAATTTAATTAACATGTTGATTTTAGGGTCTGAGATTTGTAAGCTCCCATTGATTCTGATAGTCCAACGGGGAAGGTTTTTTAGTTTCCCCTAAGTCCTATCCAAGTTAATTAAATTCCTTTAAAAACACAATATCAATAATATTCAGAAATTAAGTAGTAGTAAGAATAATTATCAGATTCAGGTGCTTAAATACTTCTTATCTCTCTCTATTTTGTCATCAACAAAAAGATATAAAAGATAAGAGAAAGAAAAGATGATGAAGAAAAATTTTCATTAACCAAAAAGAGATGCAAGGCACATGTTCAGAAAAGATAAAATAAAAGGTAACTAAATCCTAGAGCCTAAGCTTCAGAATAACTTTGAGATCAACACCCATGTCATCTTGTCTGGCAATCATAGTCTTCATCTGATCATTGATCTCCCTTTGCTTAGAATCCATGACATCCTGATTAGCAGCAACATAATTCGGCTTTGCTTTTAAACTCTCTTGTCTCTTATTGAAAGAAGCAACAGATTCTGAGGAGAGGCACTTTAGACTTTGAAGGACTTATACCACAACGGCTGTGAGAGAATCTCATTTTGCAGCATAAGTTACTGGATCAAAAGTTATAATTCTCTCAGCAACCAGATTCTGGAATCTATTAAAGAGAACAATTTTGTATTCTTCCATATGGGCTTGGATAAAGGGTGAATGATGTGGAATGTTAGTTTGTTAGGGAATGGATGGGATTACTGTGCCAGAATCTGATACAACATTTGTTCTTTTATAAGAGGATTGATGGTCAGATATTTGGTTTTCTTGGATAATTTGGTGTGGGGAAGTTTCTGGTGGAGGTTGGTTCAAAGAGACTTGTTCAGTTTCAATCCGAGGTTCATATGCAATTTAAACTTGAGATTAATTTTGAACAAAACTTGGTTCATGTTCAGATTTAGGTTCTGATTGGGGTTGAGGTTCAGGTTGGGGTTGGGGTTGATGTTCAGATGAAGGTTGAGGTTCTGTTTGGTTTAGGGTAACATGTTCAACTTCAATTTGAACATGTGAGTTATTCTAATCAGAAGTTGTTTCGACAGAAAAATGTTAGGTTATTTTGTGGCTTTTGTGGGGTAAAGATTTTAAGAGGGACACCTTAGATAGCTTTGGCAAATATAGGTTTGAGACCAAAAGCAATAATAAAGTCAGAATTTGATTCTAAGCTAGAACTAGATGAAGTTTTCCCACTAGAAACGTCTATAGGGGGTCCAAACATGGTGTTTAAAGGTGGAGGTTTTTTATAATAAAAAATGTATGTCTGTTGTCTCTGATCATCAGTGGTTTCACCGGTAGGATATCCAGAGTCAATTGGATTCATAGCATTCTATAGAATCTAAATCACAGGTGTTAGGTTAGGTGAATCCATCACAAGTTCTGAATGTTGAACCGTGTTATGAACATGTGATGGAGTGTGTTCTTAATATGGTTTGGGTGAGGGTGTTGGTGATATATGGTTTAAGGTGGAAAAATAAAAACAATCCTCAGAGGTAGAGTTCATATTGTTACCATATCAGTCTCCATAACACCAGAAGTAGCTGGCTCCTTTTCACCAACAGCTTCAGAAGCAAGATTGGTAACAGCTTCTGATACACCTTCTTTTGGCACATTAGAAGCTTCAGCTTCATAAGCACCATCAACATTCTTCAACCCATCTATTGCTTCAGCAACTTGAACTTCAACAGTCTTCAGAACATCTCCTTCAACAACATCTGGGCTTCAGAAATTATAGGTTGTTCCTTTGCTTAATCTAACAGAGCAGAGATAATCAATTGTGTTCCCCTCTGAATGGCTCCCCTTACAACCGTATGAGCTCTAGTATCTACAACTTTTGTCTTCCTGATAAAAGGTACCTCAGTTTCCTTTTCTTCAACTTCCTCTGTAATTTCAGAAGGAAGAATCATCTTTCTTAACTTCCTCTTCTTCCTCTTCCTCTTCCTCTGCAATTTCAAAAGGAAGAATCATCTTTCTTAACTTCCTCTTTTTCACAGGTGCATTAGTGGTGACAAAATCTGAAGATGTCTTCTAAGGAGTTTTTCCACTTCTTGTCTTAGTGGGCATTAAGACAGTGGGAGAGACTACCTCTTCAATCTCCTTCGAATGTGCAACCTTCTTCTTAGGAGGCTTCTGAACTATCTTCTGAGCATCAAAAGAAATCTATTTTCTTTTCTCATGAGGTATGTATGCATCAGATGGTTCTTCTGGTAGTGTTATGGTGATAATCGTGATGTCAAACTATTGATTAACTTGAACCTTAATTCATTAAATTCACAACCGGACTTTGATTTATCCAAAGGAAATGTTAAAGAAAGAAATACCTTTTGCACGATGTAACAACAACACTAAGAGATCGGGGGTTGGTTATGCCTAGGGTAAGTATTTCACATCCTAAACATTTGTAGTACTCTACAGGATCCTTTTGTATGTTTGTATGCTAAGTTGCTAAATGTTTTCTATGGCTTGAGATTAGGGTCAGGGTGAGATTAAGATACAAACCAAAGGATAGTTTCTAAGTTTGCTCGCAAAGATATTGCATCTTCTGCCTACGTATCCTAACTAGGATAGAATTAGAGCAATCGTAGTTCACCTTACTAGGGATGAATGAACACTTGATTATGATCAAGGTTCAAAGGGAAACAAACATAACAATGCTTGTATAAAGTTTAACAAAACTCTCTATTCTAAGTTGTACACTTAAAGGGATTGACTTTTACAAAAGCCAAGCGGGGAGTAAGTAACCATGACAATGATCCTTACAAAGTTAACAAACTTTATCTTAAAGTTCTAAATGAAGAATACTCCTAAAAAGGGGTAGGTCTTCTAGACTTAAAGCAAAGTCTAATGGATATAGATTCTAACTTAACTAAGTTAGGGTTTTAAAGTGACTTAACAAAGTCAATGGGAGGGTAATGAGTTGTCTATGACCTAAGGGTCAATAGAGAGACTTTCCTTTGGAATGGGGAATGATAAGGCAACTGGATGAGAACTAACAAGTCCCATCACTTGGGGAAACTTGACAAAGTTAAGCACATATAAGCATTCATTAAAACATGATGAAGATATGGAAGAGCATAGTA